CCCCACTGCCAATTCCCTCCCCCTCCATGTCCCTCCAGCACTTACCACCACCCTGGTCCCGTTATCCGGCAGTGTGTCAATGGCCAGGGTGCCCCCACCCAGGTCCTGGCTCAGCTGAGTCCTGTCCGGCTCCGACACCTGGCCAGGGATCTCTCGGGCTCTCCGACTCCAGCCCTGCATGGTGGTCCCCTGGACGGCCCCTCCAGAGCCTCGGCCTGCATCCTGACCTGGAAGAAGGGGACAGAAAGCTGAGTCCTGACAGTCAGAGTGAAGGCCCTGGAGGGGGACCAGCCTGCTTACTCTGCAGAAGCCCTGATTCCCATGCCGTCATTGACTCTGGGGACACTGACATTCAGGGCACGAGATACCCAGCATGCACTGAGCTCCAGCCACACACTTTGCACAGGAAACACTTTAGCCCTCCACCGCAGATATGATGCTCTCCATTTTGCAGACAGGAATCAGCAGCTCACAGAGGTTAAAGAAGGTCACACAGCAGGTAGGGATGGAGATAAGTTTCCCTTATCTGCCCCCAAAGGGGTGATTATTCTCAACTTCACTGGAATCATCTGGGGAGTTTTAAAAATTCGTGCTGTCTGGGTTCCACCCCAGAGATTCTGATATAATTGGTCTGCGGTGTGGCCTGTGCATGAGGATCCTTAAATGACCCCCCGGGGAGCTTCTGAGAAGACCTGGACCTTACACAGCAGACAAGGGTGAGAACAATTGCTCTGGAACATTCCAAACCAGTTCCCTATTTCTCTACCATAAATGGCACATAATCTCACCTTCCAGGGACTAGAAGCCAGAGAGCAGAGTTCTTTTAGTTCAGGGCTTCTCATCCTTGGTACTACTGACATTTTGGACTGGATAATTCTTTGTTGTGGAGGACTGTCCTATGCATTGCAGGATTTTTTAGCAGCATCCCTGGCCTCTACCCTCTAGATGCCAGTAGCACCTCCTCCCAGGTTGTGACAGTTGAAGATGTCTCCATAGCGGGGACCACTGTTTAGTCTCGTCACTACCTTCAAACACCTTGGGCAAGTCACTTTCCCCATGAAACAAGGAGCTTAGACACCATCAATGATGGCAAATAGGTTTCATCTCAAAAGCCATCTCCAATCGATTAGTGACAGCCAGGAGCACTCTAAATGTGAAGAATTCTGAGGTTCCATTTGTGTTTAGCAGGAAAGGTTGTCATGATCAACTAGCAATGACTGCTGCGGGCACAGGATTGGAGAGTGGCTGCACACAGGCCATCTAGCAGCCGTTCCTCGACTTGATGCTCTCTCCAGTTCCCTCTAGGTCATTAAATTTATTCCAAATGACACAGAAACCATGCTTTTCCATTTCAGAAAGATTTATGCCCCCAAAGATGTGTCTTATACGGTCTCTCCAATTGCCACACCTACTATGGACGGGTATACGGGACACAGACCACCAGACGGGTGGAGGTGACATTCCCTGTGATCTCCATCAGTTTCAGGCCTGCACTGTGTCAGATGCCCTTCTCCACCTCGACCTGCCCCAACCCCTCCCCAGAGCTCCTGGATGTAGCCCTCTCTCCTAGAGCATCTGCTGGTGGTCTAACTGTACCTGTCTCCCTGGTAGACTTGAGTTCCCACAGGACCCTCCCACCTTCCGTAAATGTGTATCCTCGGTGCCTCGCAAACAGTAGGTGCTCAATCACTGCACAACTGAGGACACTGTACTGGAGGTAACTTGGGAGCCATCAAGAACAGAGGTTGAGAAAAGGCTTGCCCAGGACCAGGCCTGGGACTGGGGCCAGGATCCCGCTGTGGGGCTCTGGTTTGTCATTAGGCATTTTATCCAATTAAGTCATTCTTGGCTGCTGGCGCCTGCTGGATCCTTGCCGGCCCCCTCTCACTCCCCTGCCCCTAATTGCAACCAGATGCTCTGGAAAAGATGGAGAGAGGGTGGTCTCCAGACCCCTTCCCCAAGATGTCCACTGGCTGAGATGGACCTGAGCCCAGTGCTGGGAAGGCAGCCTGCCTGTGGCCCAGACCCCAAGCCAGGGCTGTCTTGCCGCTCTCGGGTGGGGCCCACAGCTGCCCCTGGTGGCAGAACTATTTGTGCTGGGCTGGTCTGCCCAGCTCCCTGGGTCCTCCTGAAAGCAGCCCTCAGGCCTGGGCAGGAACCAGAACAGGAAAGGAGCATGTGCAGAGCAAGCAGAGGAGCTCAGCTGGCCCAGAAAGGGATGCTGGGGATCTGCAGGCATCACAGTCCTGCAACCGAAAGAGGAGGGAGCCTGGATGGTGGGGGCCTGAGGCCTGGGGAGAGGGCAGGGAGAGAGGCCTAGCCAGAGCTGGGGCCAGGGAGGGCACACCTGCCACCACAACCTGTGTGACCTTGGACCCATCAGTTTACCTCTCTAAGCCTCAGCTTCCTCATCACGAACATGGGGATGAGAATCATGCCTATGGCACAGGCCACCATGAGCATCAAGGAAGAAACATAAATGAGAAGGTTTTTTAAACAAGGAGGGGCTACCCTGGTGGCGCAGTGGTTAAGAATCCACCTGCCAATGCAGGGGACGAGGGTTCGAGCCCTGGTCTGGGAAGATCCCACATGCCGCAGAGCAAGTAAGCCCGTGCACCACAACTACTGAGCCTGCGCTCTAGAGCCCGCTTGCCACAACTATGGAAGCCCACGTGCCTAGAGCTCGTGCTCCGCAACAAGAGAAGCCATCGCACGTGGACCACAGGGAAGAATAGCCCCCACTCACCTCAACTAGAGAAAGCCCACATGCAGCAAAGAAGACCCAACGCAGTCAAAAATAAATAAATTAATTAATTAATTAAAAAAAAAAAGTTAATGATATAAACAGGGATGCTCAGGGTCAGGACCAGAGGCAAAGTGTCCAGGAAGGAGACAGGGGCGCGGGACAGAGAGGGAGGTTGCCGAGGAACCTTGCCCTACTCTGTCCTAACCCTGAATCTTGCCCTCCCAACCCCCGACACCCTGCCCCCTCCCAGTTGGCTAGGATGGGACATCACCCCTTCCGCTTGCAGAAGGAGCCAACACGGCTGGTTGCTCACGTGTGTGTGTTGGGGCCACATGCACACACACACTTGCCTGAAGGCCTGGGCCCTCCCCCTGCAGGCTCACACACATGTTACACACCTATCCAACCCTCAGCCACCCCCTGCTCTGCGTTCTGCCCTGCACTGGAGAGCTCCCTCTTCCCAGCAAGAAGCTTCCAGAGCATACGCTAGTCATGTATTCATCCATTCCACCACCCATGGCCCTAAGTGGCATACAGTCTAGTGGGATGTCACAATAGTGACAGTAATGATAAAAATAACAGCTGACTTTTAGAGAATGGTTACTCTGTGCTGGTACTATTCCAAGGGCTTTAAACCCACTAACTCATTTAACCCTCACAGTCACCCTATGAGAGAGGTGCTAGTTTTAGATCTATTTTACAAATTGGGAAACTGAGGCACAAGGACATTAAGGAATCTCCCCAGGTCACACAACTAGTCCAGGACAGGAATTGCACTCAGGCACAGAAAAAGTGCAGGCTCTGCTCAGACCACAGAAAGTACAAGAGGTGACCGGCAATGCCAGGCTGTATCCTAAGGTGCAGGGGCAGCCCCAGGGCAGAATGCACTGGGTGCCATTGGGTCCGAACCTGGGAGCTTTTCTGGCAGACTGTAGCCCCTGGAATGCAGGGGGACTGCCCAGTGGTAGTGCCCCAACCCTCTTCTGGTGCCCCTGCCCTGCTCCAGGGCAAAAAGCAACAGGCTGACTTCATTGCAGGCCTGGTCACGCAATCCCAGCGCCTGGGCCAAGCCACCTCCATCCCATGCATCACACAAGCTTGCCATTCCAGCCTCATGGCCACCACTCAGTCCTGGCCACCGTCACCTCTTTCCTGTTGGCAACTTCAGCCCCCACCCTTAATGCCCTTGGGCCAGTCTCCCACACGCCTGCCAGAGCATCCTGTCCAGAGGACAAACTTCATTCCATCTCTCCCATGCTCCCCTCTCGCCATGACCCTTTGGCTGAAAACCCAGCTCCTCCACTCAGCACTTGAGCCCCTTCATGATGGGATCCCTGCTGGCTTCTCCAGCCTCCCATCTTCCTAAAGCCCTTTGCAGGACGCAGCCCTACTCTCCCTGGCCACGAGGCTTCACACATGCAATTTTCTCATCCTAGATCACTCTGCTCCATAAATAAATCTTTCTCCTGATGAGCTCTTGCTCATCCTTCAAGTCTCATGAGATGTCACTTCTTCCCAGTGCCTCCTCTGACATTTCTGCCCCTCACCCCAAATGCTACATGCACTGTCCCAGCCCTGATCCTGACATATTGCTGCTACCTGTGCCACCACAGGCTCCAGGTGCCTGACATAGAGCAGATGCTCATCAAGCACACATGGATGATGGAAGGAAGGAAGGAAGGAAGGAAAGGAGGGAGGGAGGAAGGAAGGGAGGGAGGGAGGAAGGAAGGAAGGGAGGGAGGGAGGAAGGAAGGAAGGAAGGAATAGAGGAAAGGAGGAAGAGAGGGAGGGAGCAAGAGGGGAAGGGAGAAAGGAAAAGAGGAAGGAAGGGAGGGAGGCATCCTTAAATGTCCTGAGTACCTGCAACCCACAGGGTTGAAAAGACTCTTCCCTCGTGGCACAGCCTCACCAGAAACCCTCCCTGTAGTATCACAGCAATAAAAGCACAGGTTTGGGGGCTTCCCTGGTGGCGCAGTGGTTGGGAGTCCGTCTGCCGATGCAGCGGACACAGGTTCATGCCCCGGTCCAGGAGGATCCCACATGCCGCGGAGCGGCTGGGCCCGTGAGTCATGGCCGCTGGGCCTGCGCATCTGGAGCCTGTGCTCCGCAGTGGGAAGTTATAAAAAAAAGCACAGGTTTGGGGGCTTCCCTGGTGGCGCAGTGGTTGGGAGTCCGTCTGCCGATGCAGCGGACACAGGTTCATGCCCCGGTCCAGGAGGATCCCACATGCCGCGGAGCGGCTGGGCCCGTGAGTCATGGCCGCTGGGCCTGCGCATCTGGAGCCTGTGCTCCGCAGTGGGAAGTTATAAAAAAAAGCACAGGTTTGGAATCAGACAAGCTTGAGACTGAACTTTGAATCTACCGCTTACTGACTATGACTTTGGACAAACTGCATAATCTCTCTAAGCCTCAGTTTCCTCCTCTGGAAAATGGAAATGATAAAACCTACATCGGCCGAGTCATTTTGAGTCTTAAATAAAATAATGTGCACAAAGCACCCAGCAGAGTCCTCCTGCCTTTCCTGGGTTTCACATGAGGACCAACTTTCTGAGGGGCCTGGGGAAGGCTCCAGACCCTGAGCTGAAATCCTGCCCCTCAGTTACAAAGCCCCCAACTGCACCCTCTCCCCTCCTGCTGGCAGACAGAAACCCACTGAGGACCCTGATCTGGGGAGAGAGAGGGAGGCATGAGGAAGGGGCAGGGAGGGATGGCCAGTAGCTCAGGAGAAAAGAGGGGAGCAGAGGAGAAAAGAAGGGTTTGCCTCTCTGAGTTTCTCTCAAAGGGACAGACTGGGGTCTGTGACCCCCTCTGATTCATTCACTCACTCAGTACATGTTTATTGAGACCCTACTGTGTGCCAGGCACCGTGCTGGGTGATGGGGCAATAACAGGGAACAGGCAGACACAACCCCCGTGCCCATGAAGATTCTAGTCGGGAAAGACACACACAAAATGAGTAATTCAGCAAATGAGACAACGTGAGGTAGTGAGAAGGCTGTGAGGGAAACAGAAGGACGAGAGGGCTGGGGATGGTTACTACTCTGGACAGAGCCCTCAGGGTGAGCCTCTCTGAGAGGTGGCCCTTGAGCTGATGGAGACCTGGACGAAGAGAAGCCTGATACCTGCAAATCCCAGGGGACAGCAGCCTGAGGGTTTTGGGGGATGGCCGCCGGCAGAGTGAGAGCAGGGGTGGAGGTGGAGAGGGGCTGTTCGACGGCCACTGTGAGAAATCTGGATTTCAGTCTCGCTCTGCTTGGAGGTCCCTGGTGAGCAAGGAGGAGGCCGGAAGCAGAGTCATAGCTTCAAGGGGCCCTAGAGGCAATCTGGTCCAAACCTCATTTTATGGATGGGGAAACCAAGGGTCAGAGAAAGGAGGAAGTTGCCAGGGTCACCAGGGGTCGGTGCTGGCCCTGGTCTCCTGACAGCCAGGAAGTCACGTCCAGCTGCCTTTTCCTTCTCTGTCTGCTGTAGGCACTTCCGGTTTCCCCTGGACCAGACCCTGAGTGCACCACCCCCACGCTCCCCCTGTGCACCCCAGTATCTTCCTGTCTGTCCATCTGTCTGTCTATCAGCCTCTGCTGGTCTCGCCACCTGACTATATCTTTGGGTCACTCATCTTTCTCCTGCTCCCATTTTAATGACAGACAAAGTTTCAAGGCTCCACTAAACAAGCCAATTCATCAAGCGGGAGGGGAGATCTCAGCTCCCTCCTGAGCCCATCCCCACCGCAGCGCAGAAGACTTGGAGCCTTGGGGCTGGATGGCAGCACCCCTCAGGTCCAGCTCCCAGCTGCCCTTTCATCATCACCAGGGCTCCACCACCATTCGGAGCAACCCTCCCCCAGAATGTCCCACCCCACATCTCTTCTCCCAGAAGACATCCCTCTGCCTCCACACAGGGGCCCCCTCAAATCCAGCCTTCCCTTGTGAAAAAAGCACAGCACTGGGAGTAACAGCTGCCCCTGCTGGCTTCTTAGAGCTTCCTTAGGTCTAACCAATCTCTCCTGCTGCAGAGAAAGTCCATTTCTCCTGGCTGAATCTCTGTCAAAGCGGAGGAGACAGGGTGTCCTCTACTGAGAGATGTGATTCAAATCTCTGCCCCCTCTTTTTGACCTCCCAGGGTATCTACTCTTCCAACCCAGCTCTGAAGAGGCAGCCCTCAGCCAGGCCTGGGTCTGGCCCCCATGGCCCAGCACATCCTTGTTTCCTCCCAACGCCCCCTTCCCCAACCCTCTCCAAGGTTCTCCCAACTCGGTCAGGTTCAGAGCCGTCTCTCACCCACCCAGTCACATCCTAAGTTCAGAAGATCCCACCAGGTTGGGTTTGCAAAGGACCTCAAAAATTGACCTGTCCAACCCATTCCTTTTTATATTGAGATCTAAAAAATTGTTTTCAATTACCCCAAACATATCCTAACAAATCTGAAAAGGAAAGACAAACATTAAAAAAGAAAAAAGATCTCTCATAATCTCACCACCAAGAGTTAAAAATTTCGCCCACAGCCTCACTTTATAAGGGAGGAAATAGGCCCAGGGAAGGAAAGTAACTTGCTCGAGGTCACACAGCAAGTGAGATGCTGGGACTAGAAACCAAGTCTCTGGCCACTCTCTGCGTGTGGTCTCTCTGAAAACTGGTGGCTCTTCACCAGCAGCCTCTTGCCATATCAGCCTCCACTGTCCTCTGCCCACACCCTCCTTCTCAACAGGGACCCAGGCCTGTCTCAGCTACATTCAGGGATCATTAAAGTCAAGCACACTGTCACTGACGCTTTGCCTGATGACAGAACACCCCTGAGACACAGCAGCCCAACTACAGCATCACTCTCGCCAAACCCTCCACCTGCTCCATCCATCTGGGGGACATGCATGCCAGTGAGGCATGGAGTACTATCTTCCCAATTCTCTCTGTCAAGAGGCTTGACTGCAATTACCCACCTCCCCAACCCCAGAGAAGTTCTATGTACATGAGGAGGAAAGAGGAGGATGTAAAATTACTTGTTGAAAAATGGTTCTCCTTTTATAACAGGAGGGACTCAAGGTAGATCTCAGAAAGGGCTTCCATGTGAGAGCGATGATTGTAGAGAACTGCTGTGCGGAAGAGGAGTGTGCAAGATAGGACACCCCCACCCCCCAATCTAGAGCCAGAGAAGCTAAAGGCCAAGGACCACCAGGGCAGAGCAGAGCAGGAGTGACAGGAGGACCCTGGAGGCTGGGGGTGGGGGAGCGGCAAGTTGCTTCTTTCTGGGCCCTGCTCTCCAAGTACCAAACGGAGAGAGGAAGGCGTCAGGCCCGTAGTGCCCTTGTTGGAGGAAAGATGCTGGGTCTCCTCCATCCTCCTGGCTGCTCCCACCCAGCCCCCAGCCTGGGTCAGCTTGGGAGTGGGGGCAGGGAAAAGAAAAAGGAGGCAAAACTGGGACAGGAGGCACCCCAGACTCCACATCTCATCAGAATTCAGCCTCATCCGGTGTGACCATGGGTCCCTCTGTCTCGCCCACTGCCCCCTTTGGGGCCAGAGCCCACTCCCTTATAGATCCCCCTCTACTAGGGTCCCTCCAGTGTCCCTCCAGGAGGGAAGGGGAGATCGGGGCATCAGTGCCTGACGCTTCCTCCCTCACTCATACACCCTGTGTGTTTAGAAAAGTGGGGTCCCTGTCCACCTGCCACAGTCCACAGGGCGCCCGGCCTGCCGCAGACACGACCCCCCGGCGCCCCAAACATCGCCAGCATGCCGGTACCTGCCCATGCCCACGCCCGCCTACCTGCCCCCCGACCCCCGCCCCGATCCACCTCAGCCAACTCCGGCCAGTCCTACCTGCTCCGGGCTGGGGGCTCAGCCCCCGGGCAGCCTCCCTGAGCACCAGCACGAGGAGCCAGAGCTCGGCCCGCATGGTGGGGGCCAGGGCCCGCCCCCGGCCCGCAGCTGCCCCGGCCGGGCTCTGGCGGCGCGGTCTCCCGGGCTGGCAGGCGGAGGGGTGGGCGGCGGAGCGGCGGCGGAGCGCGGGGCCGGCGAGCAGCGAGAGCGGCGAGAGCGGCGAGAGCGGCGGAGCGCCAGCGGGCGGCGAGCGAGCAGCGCGGCCTCCCGGAGCCGGGACCGGGGAGGGGGCGGGGCGGGGCGGGGGGCGCGGCGCCTCCAGAGCTCGCCCTGAGGCTTCTCCAGCCCTCTCAGCCCTGCCCGAGCGCTCCCCGTGAGCTCCCGCGGCCGCTCCCTAGGCGGGGGGAGGGGGGCAGCGGACGCAGGAGGGGGACAGGGCGGGGGACCCTCGGGCTGGAAGAACCCCCGAAGACCATCAGCTACCCCCACACCGCACCTTAGCTCCTGCCTCCCTTCCCCTCCTGACTCCCCGGGGGAAAGCGGTGGAGAAAAGGCTCAAGAGGCCAGACCTCTTCCTCGGACCATGAGCTCCTACCACCCACCCCCCGACCCAGCTCCACCAGGCTTCCCGACTTTCTGGGCTGTTCCACGGAGTTGTGTGGGTTTGATGCCCACCCCCACCCCAGAATCTCCCCTTACAGCAGAGGCCTGAATTCCACACCCTCCCGTGGCTCCTCTCCACTTTATCCCACCCCCATCCCCCATTGCCAGCAGACAGTTGCCTTGTCCCCATTGTCTTGCCCCCCAGCCCAGCAGACATGGAGGTGGAGGGGGCCTGGCTCACCCCTACTTTGAAATAACCTGGACCCCTTCCCACCCCCAGGAGGTAACCGAGGCCACCCTCCTCTCCGGGGACCCCAGGCCTCCTCAGGGCCCGACCCAGTCAATCTTCAAAGCCAGCCAGTCCCAGAGCAAGGAAATGTCTCACCCCAACTGCCACCACCTTATAGCAGGCTCTGGGGATAGATCCCCCCCCCCCGCTATGATAGCTTTATTCATCAGGGCCACAACATTTTCTAGGTCCTGGCTCTTCCTGATGAAGATGAGATAGACACAGCACCTGGAACCCAGGCTTTGTAACACATTCCTACCCCGTAGGGGGAGTCTGAGTGTCCCCCACATTCAGGCAGGTGGATCCTCAGAGCACTTGCTATGAGCTTGAGCACTTCTGGGTAGGATGGAGAAGGCGATGGGAGAAAGAGATCTCGTCCCTGCTCTTAGACAGACCTCCATCCAGTCTTTTAGACAAATGACAGAAGCATATGGAAAAAGATGAAGGGCAGCTCATGACAGAAATGGATCTAAGCCTGTGTGAATGTAGTCTGGGGGTGCTGGAGTGAGCACCTCCTTTGGGAGGCTCCGTGGGGGAGGTCATTTCAGAGCAGACTTTGGAGGAAGAAGTGCACAGAGTTTGTGGGTTCACCTGCCTCACTCCCTCTACCCCTCCCTCCCTGCCCTGTTTCTCAGATACGGTGCACAGAGGCAGCACGTTGAGTATGGCTGTTTTGTGAGGGGTAGTGGTATTATTTGGCATATATCAAGTCTTTAAGCTCATATTTCTGCAGATGCATGAGGAGGTGCCAAAGATGGACCCATCTTGCCCTGGAGGCGGGGCAGTTATGCCGTGAGTCTGTTAGTTAGAAAACGTGTGCCCCACTGTCTGTTCCTTCTCATTCCCATTAGTCTCTGAACTGGACTTGGTGCCCAGTAGTTAAGCTAATGGTCAGTAGCGGCCCCTGCCTTGAGTAAGCTGCAGTTCCTGGCACCAGAGGCCCTTTCTGTGCTCCTGCCGCTGGGTGGTCCCAGCTGGTCAGAGCTCTCCCTCCTGCCCCCTTCCCCTTCCCCATTGCAGGTAGATGCCAGCTCAGCCTCTTCCCTGCCCCCCAGGCCTTGTATCTCACAGTAGCTGCTCCTCCTAGTGGTCCCAAGTGTGTTAGAAAGGCCAGTGTGCCAATGTGGAGGGTGTGGATCTGAGTCCACAATTCAGGTGGGAAGAAATATCCTCCCCCCCCCCCCCGCTTTTTTTTCCTACCGCAACAGAATAAAATACCTGCAATTTAGGATATTTAATAGACGGCAGGGAATCAGGTCAGGACACGGAGGTGCCTCTTCCCTCCCCGACCTACTTCGTACGACAGCAAGAAACTCGAGCGCTGGATGGAGGGAGATAGAGGGGCGAGGGGGGCGCCCTGACATATACGGGGCTGGGGTCCTAAAGACTCTCTAATCTTTCAGAATCCCAGTTCCTCCTTCCTCAGGACCCAGGGTCCCAGAAGCGAAATCCTCCAGTCCTAAGCCCTCTATTCAATTACAATGGGACAAGACAAGGCCTATCTGTAAGTTCTTCTTGTCTCATTTAAATTGCTATTTTTGCCGACTCTCAGGATCAAAGACTGCTGCTTCCAGCTGTAGCTTCTTGCTGCCCTCTAGTGGGCACATGACGAGCCGCAACGCGCCTGTTCTGCGGTTTTCCTCACTTTTCTGGTCCTGGCCTGGAGCTGCCCGCGACCTCCTACTCCAGCCGGGCAGGTTCGCAAGTCTTTGGCCCTACCTTCCGAGAGGTCAAAGTGAGAGGTCCCAGGACGAAATTCCAGCTCCGGCACTGATTTCTTTGTACATTCTCCCGTCCGGGATGCCCCGCTGTCTGTTTTAAAAGATCTCTTGATAAGAACTCAGGCTGAAACAGCAACTTGGAAATAATTAGAAGCAAACGACCTGTAATTTTTTTTTTAATGTAAGCTTCTAGAACTTGAGTGTACATCAGAATCACCTGGAGGACTTATTAAAACATAGATTTCTAGGGCCACCCCCAAGCTCAATAGATAGGGACGAGAATCCGCATTTCTAAAACGTTCCCAGGTGGTGGTGCTGTTCTCGGTACCACATTTCGAGAGCCACTGCTCTAGAATTCCTGTATTTCGTACTCTCGCCGCTCCTAATCTGCCCAAAATAGAGGTGGCGAAGGAAATGTCAACACAAAATTGTGGAAGGAAAAAAAAAAAGCTGTAAAGAAAATTGTTGCTGGAGAATCGGAGTCCGAATGCCTTTAAAAAGGTACCGAGGGGGCACCCGGATTTGAACCGGGGACCTCTTGATCTGCAGTCAAATGCTCTACCACTGAGCTATACCCCCTCTGCTGGCAAAGGTACGCAGATGACTTATTAGTGCTTCTCTGGCGCAGGCGCTGTGCTGGACGCAAGAACAGAGGTGAGGTCCAATGTTTACAAGAGATGGAGAGAAAATGAATCTCAAGAGATTACTCATCTGGGTGCAGGGTTTATTTCCTGAAGCTCTGAACTAAAGAATTCTAATGATGTAAGAAACTTGCAGTTTGAGAATGTGGGAGGGGAAGTCCCTAGAGATTCCACACTTCAGAGGCCTTCCTTTGGGCCTGGGTCCCCCTTTCCTGCCCTGCTAGAGTTCCCTTAGCATTTCTCTTGGCGCCCACTTCTCCATCCTACACGCTCTCATAGACTCCTCTCGGCCTTCCTTCCCTAGCCCGAGCCCGGCCCTTAGAGACTCAGCTTCTCTTGTTCCCAACAGCAATTGGGGTCCCCGGGCAGGGCCACCTGCGGGTGCTCCCGCCTCCACCCTACCATTACGAGAGTGGGCCTTTGTACAATCCACCAACAGACTGAGGACGTGATCCGGCAGGGCCGGGGACGCCACTCCACCCACGCCCGACTGCAAAACGGGTCAGCAGTGTTGGAGGATCCTTCCCCTCGCGTTTGTAAGTAAACTTCGACGTGTGCATTGCAAGACCAAGAAAACGCGAAAAGTCTGGTACAGAGAGGGGGCACCCGGATTTGAACCGGGGACCTCTTGATCTGCAGTCAAATGCTCTGCCACTGAGCTATACCCCCATCCTCCTACTACTTTACAGTGAGAATGAATTTCCGTGGAATACGGGGATGATATTACCTTTGAACTATTGTGTTTCTCTTTGAAAATAATCTAATGGAAGGAACATAGAATCTGAACGACGATGTTTAGAATTCCTGAGTTCTTTCTCCACAATCACGCCTTATGTAAACCACAAGGTTAAAAAAATCCTGAGCCCTCTATATCTGTGTCCAGCCTCTCACAGAGATGTCACTACCTGACTTGGGAAGGGAAGAGATCCACTGATCTCAGGACCATCCCAGGTCTTCTGGGGTAATAGCACTGCTCCCTGTACACAGATGGGTAGCCTGAGTTTCCATCCTGTTTCCAGCTCTGCTTTGATAAGACCCCTGGGCTTTTCCAACCCCGAAGGGACCCTCCTCCCCTCCTCCATGAGTTAGCATCAAACCACTCTTTC